TAGGAGCTAATATTTCTTTTTGTTGATCCGACGACGACCACTGACTGTGGCGTCCACACGATCCATCGATCAATCCATCGAAGTAGTCGGCGTTGGAATGACTACTAGTGCTACCAAGTATTACAGAAATCGCCCGTTGTGTACACACACTTTTTTAGGAAAGCTTAGGTCAGCTGATACGCTCCAAGCGTGTTGTTCGCTTCCAGCAGGCCGTTGACTTACATAGTAGGAAATGTGAAGTGACAGTTATTAATTTAGCAAATAAGCTTTTAGCCTACCTATCCTGATATTTGCTTTCATTTCGTATGCGACTAAACTAAAGAGGGATATACAACTAAGGGAGTGTAAAGTTTCTGACAGACACACAAACATTTATCAACAGGTCATATTGTGGAAAATGCGATAGTCAAAAAGTAGTGGCGAGCGTTATGTGACCGGACCTCACAAGCTGCACCTCTTTGGATGTGGTCGCAAGTTTAGATTCAGTAAAAATTAAATAAGTCTCTGGCGACGCTCCGACATAGATATTGCTAATTTTGCATATCTTGCGGCGACGAAGTCCGTCAAAAGAATTTTGCTGTGGGTCTCTGAATATATGACTCGCAACGACGCCACCGTACCCTCTTGACCAGTCTGCCTGATGAAGTCGGAACGAATGCGGTTCCTGCATGAACCGTGGAAACGGCACAGATGAAATCGCGCTGAATGCTAAGGCTGCACGCAAACTGACATTTGACATTGTTGATGCTCGTCACGCGAGTGTTTGCCATCCGTAACCGAATTTGTGCGGATCGCAGTCAATTTTGCGGTATGTACAGCCAACAAGACACCTCTACCAAACTCGGTCCAGAAAGGAGCTGACAAGTAGATTTGATAAGGTTGCTGAGGAGTAAATAAAGTCTCATATTTGGCGGTTTGATACTCACGTACTGGTAGTTTTCAGTGGTTATTGTCAGCAATGACAAGACACCGTTTTAGAATACGCTGAAAATTATACTCCATTGAAGGAATACAGTTAGCGTGCCAACAAAATTCGGAAGTTCGCGGTGTACTCAATTTAACTTGCAGCTGGTAGCGTAGATAATTATTGATGCTTTAATGACCAATTGTATGCTGACACGAGCGCGCGGAAGCAGGGTGACCAAACGAAGTGCATCAAATTTGATAATCCTAGACCGATACCAGCGAAATTAGTGTGCTCATACGCCCGATGATGACGCTGTCGGTAGATCTTTTATCGATATTGGCTTTACAAACATCTACTAAGACTGGTTTGCTGCTCAGCATTATGTGTATGGTGCGTTATTTTTAAATGTTCCAAGCCGCCGGGGTGGATGGAGAAACTTTCAAATTTCAATGATCTGAAAGATATTGTGAGGGCTCGAAGGCGTGGTTGGAATATAGGAGGCGTTTACTAGACATTCCACTTCTAAGAGTTTTTCATTGACCCTTAGCTTGTTCCCAGGGAATAAATTCAAACGCCAGCGCCTGCTTTCCATCATGTACTAAGGTTTTATAAGTATCAGATATTTAAAAGCTTTTTGGTATCTATTGAAAGAAACATATCGAAAACTAACATTACTGTTTTTACATTATCACACCATCATTCTGTTTTTGACAAATAAGGAATAGCGATACTCACAGTGATAGCAGCGACTGCACCCATGCTGGCAGCAGATTCTTCCGCTTGTGTCTCTGTTTTTCGTTGCGCAGCCAACATGGCTGGACATTGCTCTGGCTAAGAAGATGCGCGTACGTGACGACTGGAAACCTTGCGAAGATGCTGTCGGCAATATGTGGCGCGTTCTCCGCGCGGTGACACTTCACTTTTTTTGTCCGACCGCAACTGATGTGTAGATCGCCGAAACCAGCGCTCACCGTCACCAAGGTGATCTTCACGACATTTTTCGCACACCTTCTGTACTTCCAACTGCGCTTGCATAAGGAAAACACAATTGAAGGTTTCCACATGGTGTTTCTTTGTATATGGTTAGAGGTATTAACGATATATAAACTCTAATAATTAAATCACCTCCGAATTTTACTTCCTCCCCCTCACGTGTCTTCGCCTAAAGCAAAGACTCTTCAGCTCTCTTCTTTAGCCCCGGCCTCCCAAATCAACAACTATGTTGAACGTTTTCCAGGTATTACAAATGTGCAGAAACTCTCATAAATTATAATTTTTAAATTGGTTTTGCGGAATTCAGAGGGTATAAAATTTGATAGGTTACTGGCTCTCTCAGCCATGTGGCACTTTCCATTTATCCGGATCATGCAAAAGCGACCCCGGTACATCAGCATAGCACCCTAACATCCCAGACAACTCATCCCGAGCCACCTTCGCCTTCCAGAAGTCTAACTTTACTCTGTGGACTTAATTGTCTCTTGCTGCACTCGAAATGGGAAAGGGGGCATGATCCCAGAGCAGAGCTAGAATGGTGGCCCGGTAAAATTCAGTGAGAAATGAGAGATAGTGTCTGGTGGAGGGCAGTGCGACGCACTCACACCCAACCAGCACAACCGTCTAGCCACCGTGACAACGTGATCGGCAGCGGCAAGAACACGGATGGCGACAAGAATGACTCCAAGCTTCTCAAGTGTGTCCCATTTGATCACTTGCATGTGATAGAGTGAGTGAGTGAAGCTACGACGAAATGAGTGGGTAAAGGTACGCAGCAGTGAGTATAAGTGGGAAGAAATGAGCAAGTTAAGATACGCGGAAATGAGTAAGTGGAAATACAAGACGAGTGAATGAAAATTCACACGGAAATGTTGGATATGAAGGATGTGCAAGGCAACTTATTTTTTGTTGGGCAAGCTTTTCGAGTGAGTTCCGAGAGTCCTCACTCAGAATCTGCGCATAAGTATTGGACTCTAACTTTAAATTTCGAACATGAAATCTGGCTCAGTGGTCTGGTGTACTGGCTCCAATCTACTTAGTGAGGGTCTGAGTATCACAACAACCAAAGTAAGAAAGCTATTACGTGGTGTTTGGAATTCACCAGGGCTCCCCAGCATGAGTTACGTCCCCAGGCCTTCTTTGATCATTTGATTTTTGATCATAGGATTTTAAGGTGATGAATCCATAACTTCTTTTCTTCATGTATCATGAGATTGTGTATTAGAGTTGATACTGTATAGCGTACATTATTGGCTAGGTATAATTGAGAAGTCATAACGCCTATAAAGACAAATTTTCAACTGATAGCAGCGCTTGATGCTGTTTCATCCATCAGCAAAATAGAATCGAACTGTTTTGATGTTTGTGGGATGTCTAATGCTGACCAGCGGCTTTTGCGAGTGTTTGTCCATCAGCTCCACATTCCAGATTATCAAAGATGCATACCCCAAAAATTAATTGCAGCATGACCTTGAAGGGGCGAGAGCGATTTCTCAAGCTGCCAATGCTCAGGAAATTCAGCCAATTTCTCCCTCGTCGCTTTGGACTCGTCAAATGTTAGCGATATATCGCTGCGCGCGGTGCAGTAAACAAAATTATATTGTGACGCAATACGTCTTGATCGAGGTCTCGGGTTGTTGCGATGTTTACTTACATCAGCGAGTCAATTAAGTGAAAGTTAGACTGCGTTTTACCGATTTACTACCAATCAGCTCAAATCAGTGCATCGGCTCGGTAAAAACATCAAGAAACATTCTTTTTGGCTTGCTTCCAATATGACTGGACACTCATCTTGCTGTTTTGACCGTGAGAACCGCTCATATACTTGGCTTGATTAAAATTAAAAGTCTGGACTTTAATTAGAGAAAATGCATCCGCCTGAGAAAAACTTGTCTCAGATTCGATATGGTAATACTCGTTTAGGATTCTTAAGAAAAGTTACGAGCGAAAGAATGGCCGCCTGAAACTGTTCTGTTGGTTAATCACCATTCGCAGATTCACGTTCTGGATAATTCTATTATGTGTTTGAATTAGTCTTTGGCTTTTGTCTCTGACAAATTAAAAACTCTCCCCCAATTCTGTGCATTGTGAAGTTTTTCTTGAGAACATCGTGAATCGCTGCAATTATTCCACTGAGCTCAGCACCACATCTTTCATGAGGTAAGATAGTAACATATTCAGAGCATATCCGAGCTGTGCTAGCTTGATTTCGCTCTCGAGAGCACACTCTGTTTGACTTAATCATCGAGAGGGCTGAAACAATAGTAACCACGATATTTACTCAGCGCAAAAAAAGCCATAGCTAGTCCATGCAAGCATTAAGCCATCATGCAAAAGTAAGTGCAATAGGGACTAATTGTGTTGCTTCATTCATTCTCTAGATACTAAATTGTATTTTTGTAAATTCAAGTTACATCGGCGGCTCAGTATTACTCTGAAATAGTAAACGAGTTTAAATGATATTTCGTTTACTTAGCCGGAAAATTTCATCAATGACGTAATTATTATTTATCGTGTTTGACTGAGAAGATTGATCAAATTGCAGAAAACATGTTCATATTTACGCGGGTCTTTTTAGTGAGCAATATCATACATTCCTCATTGCCATTATTCAATGGTAGTACTCCAACCAATTTTTCTATTTGTATTCGCTGTGGACATCTACCTTTCGTTGCTTTTGGCGCAAGGCAATAAGCTTGCGAAGCAAGCATTTGAGTTAAGTAATAAAGACCACACTATCGAAATGTCGGGTTCAGCGAAGAACTATAGGCGCAATTGTAGGTAGCTGGTCAACCTACTGTTTGCAAACAACTATACGCAGCTCACCTGCATTGAATTTATTAATCCAACACAACCTTTGACTAGAAGTTCTTCCATTCGTAACGGTTCGTCCTATCTTTTGCAAGGGCATTTGTAGCCGGAGATCTGAAAGGCTATCGACCACATTATACGCGTAAACAAAGTTTGTATTCTGGCGCCTAATTTTTCTTGTTTAGCGCAAAATATGAGCGACTAGTCGACTATGATGTAGCCATCTTTGACCAACAGTCGGTTTTTGCCAAGGCATAGATCGAGTCCTTCGAAACTTGAAAGTGTGGAAATGATGCTACAGGAAAGTTTTTTGGGTGGAGAGTCTATCACTAACTCAAAGAAGGCGCTAGCTCAGGCGCAAAAATTGTTACAACTTGCTACAGTCAGACCGAGTGCATTGGCACTACGTGAATATCGCGAGACACTTGAGGTAACGGAATTGCCCACGATCTTTCAAGCGAAGACATTTATATGATCTGATAACTTTCTTTGGTTTTTGGCATGATAAATAGGAATGTCTACAACCAGAGGGCAATGTAGCATTAAGAATCGTCGGATTTCAACTCGCTCAACTTGCTCCTGGGTGCATCACACACGAAGTCTGGAAATTTATATTGGAAGCAGTTGTAACAGAGCTTGGTAGCACTGATAACAAATCGACTTTGGCAGCTGCAATCCCAGTGTTTCAAAAAATCCCGATGCCTCTTGTGCTAGGATTTTTGCTATCATCCGAAAAAGAACCCATGAATAAATTGCGATCAATTTTGACTCACAACGACCGTGATATTTGTTCCCGCGCGATTGAGACGCTATCACATTTAATGTCAGATGTTGCCGTCAATGTCGCTGAAGATGGACTATTTGTTTTTCCATTTGAGTCGCACGAGGCACGAATTTGCTGCCAACAAGATCTCGAGACAATTGTCAACGATACATGGAAGCTTATTTTTCAAACACTCTTCGATGAGTCACCGTGCAAAAGTGCTTTGTCAGCTGCAGGTGCCGCTTTTTCCGCCTTAATGAACTTGTTTGCACGTTCGAGTACAATAGCTCCATTTTTTATCTATGTAAACGAATCGATCCGTGTTCAAGCACCACTGAACGATGTGGTTTCTATGATCTACAGGCAAGCCTCATTACGAATTCGAGCCGTAATCACGGTAGCCCGTAGTCTTCCCGTAAAGCAGCAGCCAGATGCAATGCTTTGGATTGCGATGCTTTTGTACACAATGATGGAGCGCAGCGGTGCGAGGTGTCCAAGTGTGAGTGTTCCTTACGTTGAAATTGACACCGAGACTCTTAAAGCTGAAGATGCAGACGACGACGACGAGCCTCATGCTTCCACAGAATATGTACGAGTTGATGATATAGTGATTGAGTTTCTCGAGTCGTGGGTATTTCCAACAATATCAAGACAAGCGTCGCTCGCACAGGCTACGAATATGTGTCGCGCTATCTTCATTCTATTAACGCATCCTTTGCAGACATTTTCTCGGATGCGCTGGGCAGCTCAACTCGCAAATCATCTCATTGCACAATGCTATTTTGCTGACAAAAGTAGTGGTGATAACAGCAAAGAATCAAGTAAAAAGCAAAAGGTTGAGCTTGGTGTGATGTTAGTGATAAATTCTGCCTGGTTGTCTGGCGTCAACTGCTTGGATCTCTTCGTTTGTACAGTTGAAGCACTCTATCTTTTGGATCAAGAACAAGATCAACGTGATTTGATCCAGACTCTTATGAACACGATTACTGATCATGTTCTATCTAATCAAAATTACCAATTGCTCCAGAGTCTATGCAGCATGGCAATTTTTAGACAGTCGAAAGGGTTCTCCCGCTTATCACCACAAACAAATGGTTCCGAAGTATTTCAAGCTCTTTTTCAAGCTCTATATAAGACGCCTAAGTCTCCGTCTAGAGCTGCCGAGCATCAAATATCACAGCTTATCGCTTTAAAAATGTTTCGAGGGTTATTGTTGGTACATTTAAACGATGCATTTATAGCCTCGCCTAAGGCACATCAACGATCTAGTGAGATCGCAGAGAACATTGAATATTATATTGGCTTGCTTGCCTCCCACTTTCAAGGTATAATTGACAGACCTGAGCTTGCGCTTCGTGAGTCCCTTGAATTTTTTCAAAAAGAAGTATTCCCAACAATGGAGAAAATTGCTTCTTGTGGTGGCCGCTATCAAATACTTTGGATTGCAGTTCAACTTCATCAAAATTACGCATCTCACGTACCATTTGACGCGCTTGTGCGAAAACTTACGTGTGAGACTGGTCGGCTTTTTTCTGCAATGTGTGATGACGATGAGACGGAAGGAGCGACATTTGACAGTGGTTTGTTGGGTGGTGACGAAGGACCTACCGGTCAAAAACACGCAGATGACGTAAAGAAGGTTGAAGCTCTGATGGTGATTGGAGATTGTATTATGCTTCTGGCACAAATGTATCCCCAGACGCGATCACAGTTTCATCAAATGTGCGAGAACATGGGTGCCGCGCTCTTGGTATCAAAAAGTCCCTCTGTTTTAATATCACAGCAGTATCGAATGTACGTAAATTATTTGATGCAATACGAATTAAAGTCATCTTGATTTGATATTGTGGCAATGCAGTCTTGAAGATGTCATGTCTTTCCTCTCGAATTGTTCGACAGTAGATACAGCAACAAGGCCTGCCTTTAAAGTTTCAAAGGAATTATTTGATCCACGGGGAACATTCCTACCACGTAGGGACTTATGCTGTTCTAATGTCTCTGTGAACGAAGAATATCGAGAACTTGTTACTGTGACGGGTTGCGCTGACCCGGTGTCCGTCCAAGTATCCCATCACCAGCTGCATTTGGACGAGGAAGAAGTTGTTACACTTGTTGTCACCTGCTGCAATCTCACAACTTGGGCATTGAGTGATTTAGAACTTCTCTTCCGTCCTATTGGAGGCGTTCGAGTCGTTCAATGTGTGACTTCTCCATGCAATCTCAAGCTTCGGTTGCTCTGCGCAGGAGAAACAATTAGCGTTAGTGGAGGATGTACCGTCTTACCACCCTTCGGTGTGATCAAGGCGCAAAAGCAATTTCGGGTTTGTAAGTTCACACAGGCTACGTTTCTGATCCAAGTAGTGCTTTTTCAAGAACCAAACCAAGATGGAGGTGCTACGGGAGATGTTGGTACTACAGAGAATTCGCCAACGCCACTTCATCTCGCCTTCAGTAATCCGTATGTACTGCATTTTGACACGCTACTTCGACAGCCACAGTCTCAATTTGCAACTGCATCATTTTTCCGACATTGTTGGCAGAGGTATGACTTATCATCGTACACTAGTGTAAGCACTGACACGATATTTCTTTTGCAGTGCTGACTCGAGTGCTGTGTGGCAAGTTGATGCCCTGGAAGCAAAAGGAGAGAAAATTGGGATTTATCAGCACGCGCTTCATGTCATGAATTCCAAACTTGCTGCTGTGTCTGAACTAACATTTGAACTACCGATGCAATTCAACGTACGTTCAACTATCAAGCAATTGTTTAACCATTTCATAAGTTTGCTCACCTGTACCACAGATTGCAATGCTTACTCAGACGCGATGGGGTTCTTATATCAGTGCATCATTATCAATGTCTCTCGATTCTGACTTAAGCTGGTCCGGTAATCTTGAGCTCAGATCAACGCTTGACATTATTTGCGAGTTTCAAAAGTGGCCAAACGATTCAATTCATCTCTTTTGTGGAAACCAAGTAAATCTCAAAAACACATTAGCTACTACTTGTGAAAGTGTACAGCCATCCAATTTATTCCACGACGCTGTTAGTAATTCGAGACCATTGATCGAACCATCATCGGAGTCCAAAAGTACAGAATCCAATTCATTGTCTGCTTTAGAAACTTTTGCAAACGAAAATCCAGCGACAGTAGAGATAGAACCAACTGCAACGAGTGTCATTCCGTCTTTTTCGTCAGATTGGCAATTTACTACGAGCTTTGACAAAGACATGAATATACCACTTGACCAAGTGATTACATCTTCGCACAGCAACCACCTCCTTGAACAGATGCGAAGCCCAGAGACGACCGATAATAGCGTTTAGTAATATTAGAATTGCAATTTGATGTCTGAACCCCAAATTTTGTAAGCTTTATCCTTAAATACAAATGAGAGTGCAGCGTAGAACCTTAGGTGTCGATGATGCGGAGGAAGAGCAGGTGTACCGTCCCTTATTGTTTAACTCTACAGGCTACGCATCTTCTGATCTTCATCTTGACTCATTTGAAATGCATTCGCGGCTACCAACTGTATCGTCGAGCATCCCTCTGTCCGACGTAAGGACGACCACCGGCGTTAAGGAGAATCAGAGACGACGAGATACGATTGAACCAAAACTCCGATTGGAAACTCTGTCTTCGCAAGCTGCAACGGTAGTTCTATCGGTTACGTATCTTTCATTCTTTTTAGCAATGATGCTACCTTATCTTCAGAGCAATGGATACATGGAGAGAGTATGCAATCCATTTCAAATAACATGACGTAGAAGTAATTGCTCAATGTTGGTATAATGCTATTGAACACTAGGTGGTAGAGCTGTCAGGTGCAGTGTGCAAAAGTGACGTATGGGGAATACCATGCATTGAAATAAATAGGAAGCGAAATGTTGCAGAGTGGGCAGCATATGTGACAAATGTATCACGGTATACAGGATCTATAGAGCTAAAGCTTGATGTTCGGTCGCTGGTGAATAATTCCACGTTGACAAAGCTGCTTAAAAATGAAAGCGAAATGAAACAGGCTTTGAAACTTGTTGAGACTGTGTGGGATCTACATCCGAACTATCCTCAGGTGAATAATATCGATAGGAGTAAAGGATCAAAAGACTTCGTTGCTGAAGGCACAAGATATATCCTGACTTATGATACCAAATTATTTGGAATGGATGAAGAAGTTGTACCTGCCACAAAGGATCTCATTCTCGATAAACAAAATCAAAGTGTGTGGGTCGAGTGTCAAGTCGAAATGCGATGTGACAAAGTTCAACTTTTAGAGATTACACAAGACGTGGATCGAACGGTATGTTTTGATGAATGACGCAGAATCGTCATTGACTGACGAACACTAACTATATTTGAAGGGCGTCATGGGTTACAACGCTTATTATGCTACCGTGACATTTCAAGGATTGTATCCGAACATTTTTGGCAAAGACGTGGTCTATGACTTTACATACAAGTGGGAGAAGTTGCTTTTTTAACAGCTGATGCACCATATTAGTCTGAGATTCACTATTTTTGCTTGTGTTTTCGCAGGAAACCAGCTATTCATATTGGCGAAGTTATTGTTCGTGGCGTTCTGGTGCTGATATCGATCGTGGCATTCCCTTGCTGGTTTATATCAGTGTTGAATTTCCACGATGGATTGTGGAGCAAAGTTCTTTTAGTACAAAAGTGGGTGATTGCTTTTGGTGTTGTGCTCTTGCTGTGGCAAAACCCAGCATACGCAATATCGGAACTCTACACTACTCCAAGCCTGCGCGCACGATGGGCCTCAATCACCTGTCAGTCACTGGCGGAAGTTTCTTTTTACGTAATTTGGTTGAGTTTGGTAGATCAGTACTGCGGAGAACTTTTATCTTGGAGAAAGTTTTTTGCTACAAAATTTCTTTTCGGATTGGTACTTCTGAGCGTGGACACGTGGATGACTGAGCTACGAATGACTGGATTGTTTCCCAGAGTGAAAAACACGTTCACTACCTCTCAAACTCATTTTGATGAACTTTACACAGTGCTCGGTTTTACTCGTATGGGATTAGTTCTATTGTGGCTCGTAAGAATCGTAAAAGCTGGTGCGAAAGCAGGCAAGCATTTGAAAACATTACCGTACATGGCAACGCGCTATAAGCAACTTTCATATCGCTTTGTTGTACTCCTGACGCTTCTTATTTTCGTCTATATCTTGGCCCTGTCAGCTCTCCAAACATTTCATTTGATTCAAACGTGGTACTTCGTTGGCTGCGATGCATTTACTAAAGCTTCAGTGCATACTTTTGCTAAGATGCACACTGGTTACCCACCGTTGGGTCAAATTCTCTTCTTGTCGTTGTATGTGTACTTGGTCATGTTTGTCCATCTCCCACCTCTTGCAGGAGATAAAACGGGGTTTTTGGCATCTACAGCATTTCATGTCCATGAAAAATCAAATGCCAACTCTTTTGATTTATTTTCCTCCAGTTCAAATCTATTCTGTGTGGAAACGGCTGGGTGGTTATTGGAATTGGCCTATCAAGCTTACTTTGATCCTCCTGGATGTCCATCATTGTCTGGATACGGGGAACTTGCACTTGAGCAACATGGTTTTGAGCTTATTACTCATCTTCGGAGCCGCGTCACCGATACACACGCCGTTGTCGCATGGAGTCAGGAGGACCATCGACGTTTGGTTATTTCTTTTCGAGGTACAACTAGTAAAGAAAACTGGAGGAGCAATTTGCGAGCTGACCAAACGGTACTTTGGATCAAATCTCGAGATCTGCGCTGGCAAAGATCATGTCTCGATAAAATGAAAGATGTTGCCGCTAAGGTTCCGTTGCTGAACATGGCGCTACCGCGGGTGCACCGAGGTAATTGTCAGATTGCTGTTTACGAGCGTGAAAAGTGCTTAATTGTGTCTGATATGTAGGATTTTGGATCGCATACGAGTCTATTCGAGATGAACTAAAGGAGGCGACACGGCTCATACTAGATGAAAATCCTGGTATCACGATATACATTACCGGCCACAGCATGGGTGGAGCACTTGCGGTATTAGCCGCGTACGACCTTGCTGTAAATTTCAGCATCCAAGTTACCATGTACAACTTTGGCGGACCTCGTGTAGGCAATCCAAGCTTTCGTCAGCATTTTGACAGCTGCGTTCCCACGAGTTACCGAGTTGTCATGGACGGAGACATTGTTCCAGGGTGGCCAAGATTTGTAAGTGCATTGTTATCGATCGATAAAAACGAAGTGCTAACATATTTTTGTATTTAAGTGGGGACTTTATCAGCACGTGGGGACCGAAGTTTCGATTGATATTGCGGGAAACTTGATCGTTGATCCAAGTTTTATAGAGCGGCATCTTCACAATACTTCAAGGCGGAAAACTTCGATGCATGGCACTAACGTTTATCGATTGTCGATTGCCAACTGCCTGACGAATTTCACAATTTTTCTGCGCTAATCTGCTCAAATGTATGAAGCGACTAATTGTACAAGAATCATTTGCTGTTGCCTTTGTTATGTGCGAGCGTATCACTCTTTCTTCGGTCATCTACGTCATCTACGTTGTTGATTAATGTTTCATGTCATAAGATACTAATCTTTTTTCAAAAATAATTGGTCTTTTAAAAGTTTTTCTTAAATCCATTTAAGAAAAGTCAAGTTTAGCCTTTATTCGATATAATAGGTTTTGTGCACCGTCACTCTGACCGCTCAATTCTCATTTCAGCACGATGGTAAGGCTTCGATAAGTGGAAGAAGCACTGACTCTCTTCTGACTGTGAGTTACTGTTGCTCGTTCATGTAGTCACTTATCAAGAACGGATCGCGTATTGCAACCCAATCGCTCCGCGCTAGCGCTCGCAGCATGTCAAGCGCCACAGAGCAAGAAGCGAAAGAACAGATGCACCGATGGACTACAATTTCTAAAGGCATGATTGGCCTGACAGCAGTATTTACTGTTTATGCCATCGGTGATCACTTAAATCACCCTCATCATCACGAAGAACATCCGGCGTATTCGCACCTTAGAATGCGTAATAAGCCATTTCCATGGCCCGAATCGGACTGCGACTTGCTGGACTCTGAATGTCGTCGCAAATTTCGTGAGGCAAAGAAGGCGATGGAGTGAGCGGTTTAAAGTACACCAGTGCTGACATTTTAAATTAGTAGCAGAACTGAAAGGATATGGTGGCATGGCCTGTTGGTCTCTCTTCTGTTGGTATTCTGGCTATCACTCTAAGGCACATTTACATAAGATTTCTCATAATTCGATCTACCTCGTTTTCCCATTTAGCATAAAGTTTTTCAATCGTAGCGATGGTTTTATAAGTTTGCATTAGCAAACTCTTTCTTACGTTATGGGAGGATTATCTTCGCGCGCATCCCCATCACGATTTAAAAGGTAGTAAATCGCTTTGTCTATTGTTAAAGCGTCGTACGGGACCAGCTATTCGAAACCCAACCTTAATAGTTGCACCGACAGTACTTCTATTGTTTCGATCGGGTACTTTGAAGCTACGGGTCCGCAGAAGCTTATACAAAACCTGGGAGAATCATGAGAATATTATCCTATCTCGATCATGTGCGCCTTCGTTTGAGATTATAACTGCTCCATTCCTTCCAGTCCGAGCTTTGAGCGTCGATATCCAGCTGCTTTCGGACTCGAAACGCTCGCTTAGATTCATTGACCACAATTGAGGCTACCTTAGCGCGATTATTTTGCTTCGTCGTTTGCATACTTCGGTATACTTCTGAAGGAACTGACACTTTAATTTGGCGCAACAAACGAACGAGATCGTGAAAGAGAGCGCAATCGTTTCGATTGATAAGTGTAAGAGCTTTTCCGGATGCATTCTGAAAACGCCCCACGCGGCCAATCAAGTGAACGAAGTCAGCAATTTTCTTGGGAAAGTCATAAACTACAACATTTTCAACGTTCAATAGATCCATTCCCCGACTCAGCACGTTCGTAGATACGAGCACTGGAACATCTGATGTTAAAAAAGATTCAAGCAGACGCAGTCGCTCTTGCTGGGATTTATCTGCATGAATTGCCGCAGCAATAAGCCCACAACGCTTCTGAATCGCTTCAGCCAGCATCACTGCGCCAATTTTCGATCCTACAAAAACAAGCTGATAAAAAAACACGATTCAGATCACTCAGTAACTTGAAATGACATGAACTCACCGTCGACTCTTCACTTTTTCCTTTTAAGAATGTAAATAGTTCCTTCTTTTTTGCCTTATCTTCTGACCATCGCACATCATGAATAACGTTTGGACTAAGTGAGTAGCTTGAGGATTCATTTAAAATGCTTTCATCATGGCACACGTCAATACGATGACAAGCACTATTGCCGAGTAGCTGTCGGACGAAAGGTTCGACATCATCCGGAACAGTAGCACTGAAGAAGAGCATTTGAACTTTTTTACAGTCTTGTGCATTGAAAAGTGCCACAATTTGGGTAATTTGAGGCCGAAATCCACTATCCAGCATCAGATCGACTTCGTCAATTACACACGTTCGGATAGCAGGTAGAATGGCGGCACTATCGTTATAATTGGTAAAGATATCAAGCAATCGACCAGGTGTTGCCACAATCAATTGTACTCGACTCTCAAGCCGATACCGTTGAAGAGGAACTGGAAATCCACCCACTATGAGCGCCGTTTTCATTTTTGTGATGCCATGCATCAATACTTTTGCCACACTTTCAATTTGAATCGCCAGCTCTCGGACAGGAGCTAGTACTAAAGCCATAATTTCCTCCTTTTCATCTCGAGCATGCAAAATCTGCGCGATAGCTGGAATCAAGTACGATGCAGTTTTCCCTGACCCAGTAGGAGCACTGACTAGCACCTACTGAGCAAATAAACGTGGTCAGAGCACCTATAACTCGCTTCCTTAAACAAAGAGATTCACTTACATGATGTCCCTGTAGCACACACGGAATTACTTGCATCTGTACAGGTGTTGGCGTTTCATATCCATTCGAAATTAAATTCAATACTAATTTTTCAGGTAGCTGCACGCCATCTTGTTGTTGTGTAAAGTCCACAATCGGCACAGGCCATGACAGTGATGACACATCCGCCGTGGAAGCCGAGATAGATGAGACTTTTAAGCCTAATTGACGTCGAAGCTCGTCACTTTTCTTTGCAAGCTTTTTGTTTGCTTGATCTTCCGTTTGGCTTCTCAAAATGCAGATATTGCGGCACTCTGCACTACAGACGTCTTGATTTGTGGCGTCACAGATATATTCACCATATCGATTGCAAACCTGCAGAAGGCATATATTTGACATTAATATGCTGACAATCATTAATAGATGCGAAAATGTACAATTTACCACGCACACGGGCTCGCCAAACTTCGAAAGACGTTGGTCAGCGCTACACTTGATGACACTCTCAACCGTCATTGTTTTGGGCAAAGTTATGTAACAAAGATAAGTAGATGATGTGATATAAACGACACATTTCGTCCGCTCATTATATAGCCTTAAACCCAAGTAATTTTTTGTGTGAGTAATTCTTACCCTCGATAAATCTATTGACTACAAAATATTTATCTTCGGGGTTTTCACGTAATGACCCTCCTACAAAAACAAGATATTTTTAAAAATGTGAACGCAAGACGCAGATTATGCAACAATGACGCTTTTGTGTACTATAAATTATTTTTGACAGATTGCCACAATAGACTTGTGCCTTTTACGAACAGTGTCGGGACTGCAAATTGAAGGCATAATGACAGTCCCGACTGAGATGGACAACTTGTGGGTTTGAAGGCAAATTTGCAACTAAAATAAAATGAGCCCATGATTCCTAAAGCTGAATGCAAAACAACACCAAGTGCTCGGGAAAGTATCACTAATAAAATGTTCTGACACATGATACGATCAAGAATGTCCTGAGGTTGAATCTCAGCTTGATCCTATATAATACATCGGATGACGAAACTAGCACTTAAAATAGCTTGAACTTCAACTTACGAAGCAGAAACGACTGACTTACGCCACCCATTTCAAAAGACAGAGACACGTCAGTCTCGTCACCAGTACAAATGCGAAAGTATAAACCACATTCTGTATCGCACAGAATGGTTGCGAAGACATCAAATATGAATGTGGGGACACTAAACTGAAATCCCTTTGTTATAAAGCTTCACATTGCACTCAGAACGTACATCTAAGCACTTTCATGTAATGACTATATATTCTTCCTTACATCATCCTGAATTAGGGTCAGACCCATTGCTCATGTTGTGTGAGCCACGACATTTTTGTGTTTGGTCAACATTAATTATGGACCGTGTATGTTTGAATTATCTCAATACTGTTTTATCAGAATTGGAAATAGAGTTAACTAAATTAAATTTAAAGCAGGAGATCTAGTTATGCTAGATACTCGAGGAGTCTCTTTCAACCATGCTGCCAAAGATATGGAAAACAAAAGGGCGAAGTTTGCAGCAAGAAAAGTTGGGCCTTTCGAAATCATCAAGATGATAAATCCCATCGTGGCAAAACCCAGGTCGTCGCTAAGCATGAAAAAAAATAATCAAACCTTCAGTGTTGATGTGCTGTTAAAATATGAACCAACACCTGATAAATTCTTTAGTCGTCGTATCCCTAAAGCGTCCAAGTTTGTGAACAATTACTCAGCGGATCAGCTTCAAATCATTCGGCGTCTTTTGAAGAAGAGACAATTTAATCGCCAACCAGAATGGCTTGTTCAGTGGCATGGTGAAACAGAAGAAGAAGCTAGCTGGGAAAAAGAGAAAGATATTCGACATATAGCTCATTGGAACAATCTCGTCGTCGATTTTAAACAGCGCCAACAAAAATTGAAATCGGTGAGGATGTGAGGAACCACACTGACATGTTATATGATTCTAGAATACGTTTTCAAATATAAGTGAGTGTAGGTCTCATGTTGACGTGTACCCACGTTCAAGGAGAGATGATACATATATTATAGTAGTTAAAGAAAAGGCGACATCATAATTGGAACGACATGCATACAAGAAACAGTAGGAAGGAATAGGATAGTTTATATATATCGTAGGAATCAGTCTAATAAATATTCCCACTTTTAATTCACCAACTACCGTCCAACATCTCATCAGTGCGAACAATCCTTACAGTAATCTCACTTAGGTGAATACATTGGTATCAAGTTTAGTCACTTGTTTACAATGAGAGCGCGCCGTGTCTAACGAACATAGCGCTCTTGCAATTGTGTAAACTGCCAAGGATCGATACCATTAATTCATTGACCATTTTACTTTATCAGTTTCAGCTGTTGTGTTGCGTCGACTTGAGAGGGTTCTTCCTCGAGTGCTTTTCTTGAATTTTGAGTGTAGTTGTCCTAGATGATGATCTTATATTAGCTGATACCAACAGGATTGTTGACATCGGTAAGAAATTCAAGTTTGAGACCATCCTTGACGCACTTATGCGGTCATATAACAAGGTGTATTCCCTCGCAATAGGGTACAGAATTTCTTATTACAAAGGTCTTTCAGAGCATAGACATCGCCGCGAGGTTTATCTCGTATCTGGCACAAAGTATTGTGTGAAGTGGTAGTGGATACTTCTAAGAGGAGAAGTGAAGCCATCGACAAGTTCCAGGTACGCAAGACAGGACATGTGAGTGAACCGACATCTCCACACTCGATTCCGAGCCGTACATTTGTGTTTAGCAAACCAAAGGCAAATTCTTCGTGCGGGCAACAAGGTCACATGTCGTTACTTCAGCGCACATAATATTGTACTCTACGTTTGTACCCGTTACATTTAGTGTCATTATAGTGATGTGCGGCTTCTATCATATTTTCACATGTAAACAGAATGCCGCGCTCGCTGTTGTTTGCACTACGGCTGGTTGCTGTCGGGAGCGCTGATTTTGCGTCAGAATGTTAAAACGCCTCACATAATGGCCCTTACGGCCGAATCATTTGTTTGGACTCGGTGAATCTTATGATGATTTTGTATATGACAAGGCAGAGAGTGAGAAGATGCCAGGTAAAAAATTGTCTCGGTCATTGTCGGCTCTAGATATCGCAAGCTATATTAACTTATCAAAAGTGTCTTCATCTTCTTGAAGGTTCCAGTGCTCGGGTGTTACGTGGTGTATTTCTAACTTTGATACGGTCGCATCTATTTGAATTTTGCTAGCTCCTTTAATTCAGAAGCAGTTCTCTTAGTAGCTGTGGCCATCCAACAACCTTCACAAGTACACCAAGGACTACATTTAACTGGTCGTCTCTCTGTCACATATACTTGGGATGAGGGTTGAGCAGTGTGGAATTATGACAACCCGCGAGCTTTGAATATAGTCAAGAAGAGTGTCCAGGTGGCGTGGATCTTATTACTTCGATCAGAATGCGCTGAACTATTTAACGTTTTTGTGCTTCATGATTGGTTGTGCGCCGATGCGAATCGAAAAATCCCGGGGCGCGGACAGCTAATAAGCTATATAATTCGGCAGTGGGAGACAGTTGGTTTATGACAGATAAGATCCAATCATGGAGCATGCATATTTTAGTTTTTGACTGCACCTGCTGGGCTGACAACCGTTCGGATTGCCTGGTCGCCTAAATGGTTTTATAGTTATGAATCATCTTTGATTTACCATGAAAATACATTACAACACAAAACGCAGAGGAGAAAGGCAGTCAGGATGAAGTGGCTTTGCTGGAAATCTGATAACATCGCAAAGTACCGTTAATATAATATGTATCAATACCAATTCCGTACAAGATAATCAAATTCGATCTTAATCAAAATGCTGCTGATATTACATTTTTCCTCGGATCGCAATGCTAGCGGTCAGCTCTGGCCACGGTCATCAACACCCTCAACAGCAGTCTCGGATTTTAACATGACGCTATTGACTGCAAAAATACCCTTGACGATCGGGTTACTGCCGATTATTTGTTGATGAATCAACACAGTGAATATAAGTTTGCTAATTTGTTAGTCTCTTCAACAACTACGACAAACAGCTACGAAGAACAAATACATGAGAATTCACCTCGACTCAGAGCAAAACTTAGCAATGTTGTCAACTAGAGAATAGTAATCAATTAAGGAATTCACTTAGCGCTTCAAGAGGTCACTTCTTCTATTTTTGATATAATCGCTGATGTGTTAGATCGGCTGACAAAGTGAGCGGATTTGAGTGAATGCTCGAATCACTCCAAGTTTAGTGTATCATGTTCTGCTTCCTACTCGAGACTGAACAACATTTTTGGTCGCTCACCTCGATTCATGAATCGTAATCAAGTCGTCAAAAAGGCCCTTTTTACCCAAGAACCCGCTTTTGCATCATACAATTCAGATTGGACATTTAAATCCATACTTATCGTCAAAATACTAATCTTTAATATGGCATTGACGCTTTCCATAGGTTCCACAGCCTCGGCTGGACACTGGGTACACTCATCAACAAGCCTGTATCAGTAAATTAATCGATTTCTATGTTGTGTAGAGCTCACATAACCTGCTAAGCGTGATTTCACAGAACATGCTCCACGGTAGTGAAATGTGTGCGTACACTGTTGTGCAGGATGTTCTCGTTACATAACCGAGACGGTAACCCCGCTATGATCACGCTTTTCCCTCTTTACATCCTGGCGGAAAAATAAATGCTCTACGAGAGTATCCAGTGCGATGGTGGTTTCGTACACCCCAGTAACACCCGATCTTGTGAGCATAATCCACACAAAAATTCTTTTCCCATTCGTGTCCGCATGACTCAATAAGAAAGGAGAAACACTTGCGGCTGACAACCCAGAAACCATAGTCATACGACGTCTTCTAAGATGAAAACGGGCATTAAATTCTCCGAGTTTTGGCCCTGTGTCTTTAATCTCACCGTGAGACGTGGAACTCAGCTGTGCCTCGTTTGCAGGAGCCGGCACGAGAGTGAAGCGTTCTAAAAGCTCTTCCTTTGCATTAATTGCACACTATGTGCTCGTTCGCTGCGGCAAAGGGTGTAACGACAGCTTCACCGCAACGCTCACGACAAGTCGTTACTATGAACTAGACCTTGCTATAACAAGCTGATCTAGTCTGTCTGCAAATGAAACCTTCTCAGCGCTTGCATACAGAAAATACGTTGTGATTTTGGAGTCTATCATTTCGAAGCAGCCTATTTGCTGTGGAAAACACCTGCGGGCACCCTCGCTCAATGCGAATATCAAAAGAAAGTGATTTGAGGGCATTACCTGCTTTCACAATTCACCACTTGTCTAGATTATCGCCTGCGCGATATATGTTTAATGTGCGTGAGAGCTGTCCAACCGGTACTTGGCGCTGACAAAGAGTACCTTTCTAAGTTTGCACAGATGGTAAAGAAGGCGTTTTTCCTCGCCCATTTATAGAAAACATGCATGTCAGTGAATGAGACGTCCAAACAAAACGTTGGTGTTTGGTTGATTTTGAGAAGTACATAAACAACGTGGAGATCAAGGTGGATGCTTACACACTGGGTGAAAAGAAAAACGATCATCCAACCATTTACGATGTAACGTGCCGGCTTCAGTGAAGCAAACGTTCAGCATGAGCGTCGCTGGACGCTTGATTATGAGAAGTGCAAAAGCAGCGAGGTAATTGATTATCGCCTCAAGACCTTGCACCTGTCGATATAACTACTGGCAGGTCCAAATTTGGAAAAATGCCAGGTCTTAGACATATTTGAAAAGCGCATTACGATGCGCGTCCCAGTCGCTTTCCTTGGATGTAGTGTAGAAGTTGCGCTAAGCCATAAGCGGCAACGGCGATAACGCAGCGCAACATTGCCGAAGCGAGACCTCAATTTTCAAATTAAAGTTTACATCAGTGAGCAAAGCTGGTATTAAATACTTTATTGAGTTTCGTAAGCTCTCTCGATCAAAGCGGCGTTTCTACTCTCTCCAAAAAGTTAATTGGTCAAAATCACGGGCGTTTTAGGCTGTACAATCAAATCCGTGTATACAGGATCGGACCCCGCAAATTACGTCACATAGCCAAACTTTCGCCCCCAGAGCTAATATCTGGACTCATGACTAGAAGAGAAATTGTCTGTCTTGTCAGGGCTACAGGATCGTGACATACGGTCACTGATTCGTATTTCGTCTAAAGCTCTTTACTTACGATCGATTATGTCTGGTTTGTCTTGAGACCGCAGATCAATGCCACGTATGTTTTTCTCAGGTTGATACCAATCACCAAGATGTCAGGGAGATGGTGATCAAAAGGACGAATTACTGTTCGCTGGCTATGATAATGTGCTGATTA